TATTAAACCAATCACAGCAATATGTCTTCACACAGTGTGCGAATATCCCACAACATGCCATCATATCTGGGTCTAGTCCCTTTAAATTTTTTATTATTATGGGGTGGTACATGTTCCACAGTACATATACAGAGGCCAGAAGACAACATCATGGAGTCAATTCTTTTCTTTGTGTAGGTTCCAGGGATGGAACACAGGTTGTCAGGCTTCTGGGACAACCTTTACCCAATGAACTATCTTGCTGGTCCCTGTAGGAGATAATTGAACAGGCATGGTAGCATACACCTGTAATGTTAGTACTTGAAAGGCTGAGACAGGAGGATTGCTATCAGGATGAGTCAGGCAAGCCCGAGATACATAGCAGAGTCCTGGATAGCACCCACTAAAAATAAAATATTCTCAGTAGGGTCTTAAAAAAACAAAAGAGAGACAGAGAAGAGCCAGGCAGTGGTGGGGCACGCCTTTCATCCCAGCACTCGGGAGGCAGAGGCAGGTGGATCTCTGTGAGTTTGAGGCCAGCCTGGGCTACAGAGTGAGTTCCAGGACAGCCAAGGCTACATAGAGAGAACCCTGTCTCAAAAAGGAAAACAAAAAGCCAAAAGCATTTTGCTATGTAGTTCAGGCTGGACTCGAACTCCTGAGTGCAGGGATCACAGGTGTCTCACCTTTTGAATGAAGGCCTCTCTATCACTCGTGGGGTGCCTGTGCTATCCCTACAGGAGGTAAGTTGGTGTATGCTTGCCCTTTCTTTATCTTAGTCCTCCTCTGCACACGTCAAGCCTTGCTCTTGGATTTCCCAAGCAAAAGGACTGCAGCCCTGCAAGGTTTCTCAGGATGCAGAGGGAGGTGGAGGAAGGAGGAAGGGAAAGGAGAAGGAAGAAGAGAAAGGAGGAGGTGGCCGAGGTTTCCGTCTGCTTTGCAGTCACTTAGGCTGAAACACGCAATGCTCAGAACTCCAGCACCTCCTACCCAACTCATAGAGCCTCTGAGCCTCTTGGAAAGTGACTCAGTCAGTCCTCTGATAGCCCAAGTTGTCCTGCTAGAGCTTAGCTGGGTTTCCTTAGTCCCTGCGCAGCTTGCCTCAGGAAGAGAGGGAAGGTCGAGGGTCATTCAGTCCAATACTCCCAGGGCTCCAGGGCTCCTCAGGTCCCTCCAAGAATCTGGAAATGATAGTATAATCCTTCCATTTGTATATACATTGAGAATGGTCTATAGAGCCTGATGATTGACAGTTTGTTTTTGTTTTTGTTTTTGTTTTTGTAGACAGGGTTTCTCTGTGTAGCCCTGGCTGTCCTGGAATTCACTCTGCAGTCCAGGCTGGCCTCAAATTCACAGAGATCCACCTGCCTCTGCCTCCTGAGTGCTGGGATCAAAAGCATGCACCACCACCACCCAGCATTTTAAAATTATTTTTTAAAAAATTTTTTTAATTAGCTGGGCAATGGTGGCACCCACCTTTAATCCCAGCACTCAGGGAGGCAGAGGCAGGTGGATCCCTGTGAATTCAAGGCCAGCCTGGTCAACAGTGAGTTCCAGGACAAAGCTACACAGAGAAACCCTGTCTCAAAAAAACAAAAAACAAAAACAAACAAACAAAAAAAAAAAAATGAAGAAGAAGACAGAATAACAACAAATGCCAGGCACAGGGTCTGGAGAGATGGCATAGAGGTAAAGAACACAGGCTGCTCTTCCAGAGAAGCCGTCCTTGATTCCCAACACCAGCAGCATGGCTCACAAGCATCAGTTAACTGCAGTCCTAGGAGATCCAACACCCTCTTCTGGCCTCAGTGGATACTGCACACCTGAACACAGGTAGCACACAGACAAAACACCCACACACAAATGAAATGGGAAAAAAAAATGCCAGCCAGGTACAGTACAGGAGTACAGATCTATAATCTCAGCTCTTAGTAGGCGTAGAGGTATGGGCAGGAAGATCAAGAGTTCAAGACTACTCTCAACTACACAGTGAGTTCGAGGCCACCCTGGACTACATGAGACCTTGTCTTATGAAATAAAACAAAACCAACAACAAAATTTACAGTTCATCCATAGGAACCAATTATTTTTTAAAATTTATTATTACTCATTTGTGTGAGTGTGCGTGTGTGTGTGTGTGTGTGTGTGTGTACAGATGTATGTGTGCTTTACCTCATGTATGTGTGTGGTCAGCAGACATGGTCTGGGAGTCAGTTCTCTTCTTCCGCTGTGGGGTCTGGGACTGTTTCAGGTAGTCAGACTTGCTTGCAAGGCAGGCAGGTCTGCCTTCCGCCCACCCAAAGCAGGCATTTCTGTCCACCACAGTGCAACGTGCAGCTTCTTTGGCCTTGAATCTTAGACTCTACATTTCACAAGTCACCATCAGTGAGTATAGTATAGTGTAAAAGTAGAGACTCCCGATCACTGGTCATTATAACTAGATATTACATCTACATCCTAAGATGCCTTAGCCTCTTGTTTTAAACTTTGAATGCATCAAATTTCACTGCTTTGTTATAGTTTTACAGCTTTTGGTAAATGTATAGTTATGGACCCATTATTGTTGCTTTGTGACAACACCTTTCTGTGTAGGCCTGGCTGACCTGGAACTTAGATGTAGACCAGGCTGGCTATGAGCTTAGCAGGAACCCGCCTACCTCTGCCTCTTGAGTGCTGGGATTGAAGGTGTGTGCCGCTCTGTTGACATTTCCCTCATTTAATATCATGCAAAACATCTTTGCCATTCCTAAAAGAAAAATCTTTATTTTTAGTTTGAGAAAGGATCTTACTAGATAACCCAAGCTGGCCTTGACTCATGACTTTTCTATTTTATTATTATTATTATTTATTTTCCAATAAATAAATAAATAAATAAATAAATAAATAAATAAATAAATAAATAAATAAAAGGTTTTCTCTGTGTATCCTTGGCTGTCTTGGAACTTGTTCTATAGACCAGGCTGGCCTTGAATTTATAGATCTACCTTCCTCTGCCTCCCTAGAGCTGGGATTAAAGGTGTGCGCCACCACTGCCCAGCTTTTATGTTGTAAAATTGTTTTGTTTTGGTTCGGTTTTTGGATTTTCGAGACAGAGTTTTTTTTTTTTTGTATAGCTTTGGAACTTGTTCTGTAGACCAAGCTAGCCTCGAACTCACAGATATTTGCCTGCCTCTGCTTCCCAAGTGTATGACACCACCACCCAGGTTTTATTTTTTTTTTTTTAACTTTTTAAAGATGTTTGTTTTGCCTGCATGCATGTCGGCGTACCATGTGCATACCTGCTGCCTGCAGAGGCCAGAATGAGCTGGTGCCACATCCCCTGGAACTGGAGCTACAGATGGTTGTGAGCACCGTGTGTGTGTGTGTGTGTGTGTGTGTGTGTGTGTGTGTGTGTGTGTGTGTGTGTGCGCGCCACGTGCTGGGATTCCAACCCAGGTTCTCTGGAAAAGCAGCAAATGTTCTTAACTGCGGAATCAGCTCTTCAGCCTCCTTTCTTTATTTTCTACCCTACTACTCCAAATTTCATTTTCATAGTTCTGACCTGGATCAGTGTATTTTGTGTGTGCTGTTAAAACAGGGCCTGATCCTAGCCTTTTCCCAGCCCCTCCCCCCTCCCCGCCCCCCCACCCCGTGCTGGGTCACAGGCACACACCACCATACTCAGCCCATTAACACTTCCCACTTCCGAGGGCTGAGACACAGGTGGTTTTTTATAGCCCTTTGCTCACTTTTACCAAGCAGATGCCAACAATCTGGCCTCTCAATCTAAGCTCAGGTTAAAGGTCCTGGGACCCTGAGTGGGTCGTCCACTCTGCAGAACGTGGCTGGTGGACTCCCAATTCACCTGGTGTAAGTTCTGCATGTATCAAGGTTCCTACTTCCTAAACGCTAACCTTATTCCTTTTAGCTTCCACTCCAAAGCCACCAAGGGACACAGCTCAGCCTCTCAGCAATGATTTCCCAATTCATGAAATCTGTCAAGCCAAAGACAGCAGCATTTAGGGCCAGTAAGATGTATACACAGACACAGACAATCTAAATAAAACCAAAACAAAACAAAAAAGGCAGCCTTAATACAAATAGAAGTATGTGTTTTTAAGATTATAATCTTTTGGTGTCAGACAGGTAAAATAACCGGGATTCAGAGATTGGAGAGAGAGCATCCAGTGGAAGGCTTGTGTGTTCAGATCCAGCAAGTAAAGTTACGAGGGTAAAGGGATATAGTAGTGCAGACCAGGAATCCTAAGACATGGGAGGAGGTGTAGAAGTTCAAGGTTATCTTCAGCTACATGGCTAGCTGGAGGTCAGCTTGTGCTGTAAGAGATCCTGTCTCCAACAACAACGAAGAGTTGGGTTGGGTCTTGAGAAATAGGGAAGGGTATCATCTGGAGGCACAGGGCAGAGGCACGGGACTCTCCCATCTGAGTGCAGCTTTGGTTTAGACTCAATATCTTCACACTCTAGACTGATTGCTGTCTTCTGAATCATAAACACGTATTTGGCACAAAACAGGTAATCCCTGAAGGTCTACCTCTTCCACTGAAGCCTCACTCATCTGGAATTTATCACATTCTCCTCTGTATCTGCCCAACCCTTTGTCCATATGATCTGTTGACTACAGGTTAATAAAACTACCTTCCTTGCTTGACAAAAACAAAAAACAAAAACAGGCAGCCTTTAGGTGCTGAGTTTCAAGCCAGCCTTCCCTGCTCCTTGATGCTTTTAAGATTTTTTTCCTTCTATTGGCGCTGAGAACTGGTCTGAAGAATCTCCCACTCTCCCGGGCGTGGTTCGTTCTTACATCACCAGACTCTTCTCACAGCTTCACTGCACAGAAGATAAGGCAATTGTGGGGCTCAGCCTTCACTTGAACCCCGGGGCAGAGGGCTGCTGCGCCTTCTAGGCCAGCTTGGGCTACAGCGGCACCTTCTCAGAACACCAAAACTCAAGACAGGCAGTGACCTTGTCTTCAGCCCGATTCAAACCCCACCCTCAGCAAACAAACACTACCACCATCAATGTACTCTCACAACAAAATTCATTTATTTACAAAGGCCAGGGTGGGTGTTGGGAGTAAGAGAAAAGGGCAGGCATGTCTGAGCTGCTTGGGATCCTTCCCCACCTGGAGCAGGATTCCTCTTTTTTTCGAGACAGGGTTTCTCTGTGTAGTTTTGCGCCTTTCCTGGAACTCACTTTGGAGACCAGCCTGGCCTCGAACTCACAGAGATCTGCCTGCCTCTGCCTCCCGAGTGCTGGGATTAAAGGCCACCACCGCCCGGCAGGATTCCTCTTCTTACCTCTCTCTCAGTCAGGGGTCCTCCAAGTAGCTGGACCACACAGCTCTCAGCACATTCTCTGCCCTGTGGTCCAGCTAAAGCCCAATTCCATATTAAAGGCATTCCCCATCTCACCCCTTCTAAAGAACTTTCTGGCCTAGATGGAGCTGGCAAGGAATTAAAGGCAGGAGCTCTGGAAGAGAAACCTCACTTTTTTTTCACCAGGAGTAATGGTGGCAAGGGTATCAGTCAGAGCCATTGTCTTTAGAATTACCCGATATGCTTTTCGGTCACCAAACACCCAGAGGCCCAGGAGACCCATCTCTCCTTCCCAATGCTCTATTCCTCCACTAGGCTGGTCCCTGGACCCACTCATCTCTGTTGACAAAGTAGTGAACCAGAAACCAACAAAGAACACACACCTCCCAACTTGCATGGACGCACATGTGTGCATATATCATATATACTAATTCTCCATACTGCTGAGAAAGATCCAATCTCCAGCATGACTTCTGGGGAGCGGAGCTCAGAGTACCAGAGCCTGAAGATACAGTTAGGTCCTGGGTTCATGGAAACGTGTGTGTGTGTGTGTGTGTGTGTGTGTGTGTGTGTGTGTGTGTGTGTAACGCGCGCGCACACACACATACATTGGAGACCATGGAAACCTGAATCCTTGTGGGCCACACTGCTCGGCTTTGTTAAGCTCCTTTCTTCAAGCTTACACCAGTCTTCCTCCCTTCTGTCGGGCCTGGGCCTGCTTCTCCAACCTGAAATCTACTGGTGTTTCTAGACCCCAACTGTCAATCTGCCTTCCGAGCCTTCAGCTCAGGCCGTCTCCTCCAGTCCCTGCTTCCAGGAACTCTGTCAGCTCTTGCTCTTCCGCACCAGCTTCCGCTGGGCTCGTCTGCTCTTGGTAATCCTGCCCAGACTGCCTGCTCATGGCTCTCTTTGGGCGAGAGGACAGGTATCTTTCTTAGAGTCCCAAAGGGCGCATGAGACAATGCTGGATGAACTTGCAGAATGGGGCAGAGGAAGAAAACTAGAGCATTTCATCAGTTCCTCTCCGGGGTGAAATTCAAACACTGGTTGGGCTGAGGGAGGGGAAGGAAGAGAGGGAGAGTGAATGTAAGGCAAGCTAAACCCTAGTGGTACCGATGGAAGACTTCCGGTAAGCCAGACGGGGGTCCTCCTCTCAGACCCTGGGAGAAGGCTGAACATTGCCAACGGACTTGTGGGCAAGGAGGTGGGCCCAACCGACACAACTGTGCAAACTAAAGCGCTCTGCTCAGAGGACCAGGAGAGAAGATTTCATCAAACAGCAACAAAATCAAAATCCTTGGGCAGAGCTCCGGGTTGGGCCCGTCCTCCAGAGTCACCCTGCTGTTGGTAGAGGTCAAAGAAGACAGGCTACAGAGGGTGGGGCTGGACAGAGGGCCAGAGGCTGGCGCTGAGAGGTGGGGAAGGCAGGAGGCACGGGCCCCGGGATCAGGAGAGCTGGGACCCCAGGAGTCTCTCGATAGCCGCGTTGATGTCCCCTCCTGTGGCAATCAGGGCCTGGAGGTTGGCCTCACGGTTGACAAAGCCCATGGAGTTGAGCTGCTCCAGCTGCTGCTGAAATCTCACTTCCGGCATCGGCACCTGGAGGAGGCAGGCCTTGGCTAGTGGGCATGGACCCATTCTAGGGCTAGCCCTTCTTTCCTTCCTTTTTGAGAACGTCTTGCCATGCAGCCCAGGCTGGCCTAGGACAGTGCTGGGGTTGCAGGCACATAACACCGTGCCTGTCTCCTAGAGGGACAGCTGGAGTCTGAGTGTTCCGGAACACCAGCCGGTCCCTAATACCCCTGTGGCCAAGGATGGCCCTTCTATCCACATGTCTCCTTCCCACCCCCTCCAGAGCCCTGTGCTTGGTGTGAGGAAAAGTGAACTGCAGATGGCCAGGGAACCTAGCTCCCAAGTTAGTAAATAACTTTAACAACAAGACTGACGATATTTTTGTTTGTTTTTGTTTTTCGAGACAGGGTTTCTCTGTGTAGCTTTGGAGCCTGTCCTGGAACTCGCTCTGTAGACCAGGCTGGCCTTGAACTCACAGAGATCTGCCTGCCTCTGCCTCCCGAGTGCTGGGATTAAATTCGTGTGCTACCGCCGAACAGAGACAGATGATATTTCTGTTAATCTTCCCAAGTCCCCGGTAGGCCTGTGTCAGCTTGTTCCCAAATGCTCTCCAGAAGATGTTAATACATGCTTCAAAAGACTAATGCTCAGTAGTTAAGAGCCCTGGCTGCTCTTCCTGAGGACCTGGGCTTGATTCTAGTACCGACATGGTGGCTCACAACTGTCTGTAACTTTAGTTTCCAGGGACCTGATACTTCTGGCCTCTGCACACTAGGTGCACACTTGATGCCCAGACATACATGCAGACAAAACATTCATACAAGAAAGAAAAATAAATAATCTGGAAAAAAAAAAAAAGAAGCCTAATGCTGGGTTGGGCATGTAGCTCAGTGGCAGAGCCCTTGCCTACTATGTGTAAGCCTCTGGTTTTGATCCCTAACACCACACACACACACACACACACACACACACACACACACACACACACTCACTCACACACACGGCCCAGAGCTCTACAGTCAAATATGCTAAATGCTAAGCATGCCCCTCCAGACAGTCTTCAGAACTACTACCATAGTAAAGGTCCGAGAAGGGCCCAGGAAGAAAAGAACCTGCTTAAGGTTTTTAACCCGCAGTAAACACAATTAACAAAAGACACATCTTTTTTTTCAACATACTCCTATAAATATCTCTTGGAAATGTTTTGCTGTGGGATATTTGTACACTGTGTGAAGATGTACTGCTGTGATTGGTGTAAAGAAAAGCTGAACGGCTGATAGCTAGGCAGGGGGTATAGGTGGGACTTCCGGGCAGAGAGATGACTCTGGGAAGAAGAAAGGCAGAGTTGTGAGCCAGACACAGAGAAGAAACAGGAGGTGCAAGATGAAAGAGAGGTAATGCCACATAGCAAAACGTGGATTAATATAAATGGGTTAGTTTAAGTTATAAGAGCTAGTTGGGACAAGCCTAAGCTAAAGGCCAGGCTTTCATTATTAATAATAAGTTTGTTATTTGTGAGCTGGCAGCCCAAAGAAAGTCTGACTACAATGTTTTCCCATAGGATGTTTGGGAAGCATGAGTCTTGCTCATGACCAAGATCCAGGAAAAGGAAAGCTGCTGTGCAATATTTGTTTACACTGTAAAGATGTATATCTGCCTAAGGCACCTTCTGATTGGTTTAATAAAGAGCTAAATGGCCAATAGCTAGGCAGGAGAGGATAGGCTGGACTTCTGGGCAGAGAGAGAAGCAGGGAGGAATCCAGGCGTGCAATTTTGTCATCAAACTTGGAGCAAGTTGGATGTGCCATACTAAGAAGAGGTAACCAAGCCATGTGGCAGACTGTCGATTAATATGAATGGGTTAATTTAAGTCATAAGAGGTAGTTGGGGCCAGGAGGTAGTGGCGCACACCTTTAATCCTCTGTGAGTTCAAGGCCTGCCTGGGCTACAGAGTGAGTTCCAGGAAAGGCGCAAAGCTACACAGAGAAACCCTGTCTCGAAAAAAGGTAGTTGGGGAAAAGCCTAAGCTAAGGCCAAGCTTTCATAACCAAGTCTCCGGGTCATGATTTTCAGGCTGGTGGTCCAAAGATAGGCCAACAAGAGAGCTTGCTACGGAAGGCTGGTGTCCGCTGCCCACCTGATGGGGACACTTGCCGAGGACCACACACGCCCTATAGTGCCAGAGGCCTTCCCAGTCACAGACTTTGTACTGGATGTGCCCTGGAGATCAGCCTGGCCCAGCTCTCTGAGCGTTTTACACAAACGTTTGTAGAATTTCCAGAAGAGTCACAGAGGTCATACCCCAAGTCATCTCTGGGGCCTAAGACCCCGCCCTTTACTCTCGTCTACCAGCTATGTAGGTGAGCAGCTGACCTCTCTGCTCTCAGTTTCCCCCATCCCTCACATACTGATACTGTGACAGTCCCCCGAGGCTGTTGGCAGCGGGGTACACGACTCTCCTAGACAGAGCATTCGGCATGGTACCGAGCATGGGCCGAGTGTGGTCACTACTCTTACCCCACTTTAAAGCTGTAGAAACGGAACTTGGGGACATAGGGTGACCTGCCCAAAGCTAATGAGTGGCAGACCAGGCCCTGAAGGCAGGCTGGCCTCCCGCAGAGCCTGTCCTGCTGTCGCAGCTCCAGTACCGCTCTCTCTTGACGCTCCTCAGGACGGATGGGTTGCTGCCCTGGATACCTGTGAGTTTCCACTTCCGGCCAAAAGCTGGATCATCTGCTGCATGAGTTGTTGCTGGGCACTGGAACCCGCTGTGGTTGGAGACGTGGCGGGTATGCCTGGGGAGGAGGTGGGGGCCTCGGCTGCAGACCCAGAGTTGCTGCCTGCCAGGGGTACAGGGGTCCGGGATGTCCCAAAGGAGCCAAGGCTGGGAGGGGGGGAAAGAATGAGAGTTAGGAGACAGCAGTCCAGAGCAGGATGGGAAGTGGACATGGAGGAACATGCTTGCAACCTCAGCACTTGAGGCTAGCCTACGCTACGAAAGAGACTTAGCCTGGAAGAAAAAGGAAAAGAATGGAAATGTGAGATCCAGAAGGAAAAGCAGTCAGTACAAAACAGGAAAGCTGACCCAGCCCAAGGAACAATGGTGCAATGGTGTGTGTGTGTGTGTGTGTGTGTGTGTGTGTGTGTGTGTGTGTGCGTGTGTGTGTGTGTAAGATAGATAGACAGGATAGAGAGAGCGAACCTTAACGCCCGCCAACCATCCTTACCTGGGTACCAGCCCAGGGGCTTCGGTCTGCAGGGTCTGCAGGCCCTGCTGGATCTGCAACAAGGCCTGCATGGCCCGGGGATTGGTGAGGATGGACAGAGACTCTGGGTTCTGCATCTGTTGGGGAAGAGCCAGTCAGTCCCAGCCCCAGCCCGTCCACCTGACTCATTTCCAGTCATTGCGCTCCCAGGTCTCCCCTCTATGATCTTCACTCACCTGCTGCAGGAACACGGGGAGCTGCAGACGGAGCTGCTCCTGCAGTTGTGGATTCCCCGCAAACAGCGGCACATTCACCATCATCTGCCAGAGTGAAGGGAACAGGGGAGGAGGCCTGGGTCGTCCTACCCTAAAGAGCCCCCACAGCCTCAGACCCTCCTCAGCACTCCCACCACTGCAGGAGATCTCACCTCAAAGTACTCCAAAGCCCATGTGGGGCAGAGAGAAGAGAGGGACCCGTGTGCTGAGCAGGAGTCACACTGCCCAGGCCTGTCTGACAGTCACCTGAACTACCACTTCAGGTACCCAGGACCTCCTATGTGCCATGCCATCATCCATCCCTGGGGGAGCTATTGTTGCTACCGGTTTTTGTTGTTTTCGTTTTTAATTTATTTTATGTGCATTGGTGTGAAGGTGTCAGATCCCCTGGAACTGGAGCTACAGACAGTTGTGAGCTGCCATGTGGGTGCTGGGAATTGAACTCAGGACCTCTGGAAGAGCAGCCGGTGCTCTTAACCCCTGAGCCATCTCTCCAGCCCCTGTTGCTGCGGTTTGCAGAGGTGATCAGGAGGCGAAGGGGCTTGCTTAGCCCCCAAAGCTGTGAAGTAGCAGGATGTGCAGTAGGAACCTGGCAGCCTGGCCCCTGAGTGCTTCAATGGCCCCCACAAACTATTCCCTCGTGGGGAACCCTTTCCCCAGCAGCACTTCCTCCTTACCTGAGCAGCGAAGTCAGGGTTCTGGGCGAGCGTCTGCATCATGCTGCGCATGTAAGGGGCGGAGATCACATTCTGCATCAGCTGGGGGTTTTCGGAGATCTGCTGGAGGAGCGCCTGCATTTCTGGGCTGTTGAACATCCCTAAAACAAAGAGGGATAAACAAACAGGAAGAAAGGGGTCCGCATGGAAACCAGACACCTCATTTCATCTACCTTATGTCACTGAGTGGTCAGGAAACGGAAGCTACGGTCAAGTAGGCATCCAAACGCATGGCACGGGTCCAGGTGCTCCGGACTCTAAAGTTAGCTCACATTGAGTTATCCTGGGCCTGTCCCATCAACCTGGCTAAAGGCTCACTGGCTAGAAGCCAAGTCTGAGTTACGTCCCTCTGGACTGCGCCTGCCCCAAGCTCAGACACAGTGTGAGCTGGAAAGAACTAAACGCCATGGAGAGCTATGGCTTTTAAACCTGCCTCAGTAGCAGAGGCCTGCTTCTCAAGCCAAACCCCACTCAGGTAAGGTAAGGGTGCGGCTGAAGCCAGAGCAGGAGACCTGGAGCTGGCTCCCATTTGGTCCTTCCATCTCCTGGAGATGGTCCAGATCCCCCAACACTTAGGAACGGTGTTTAAACCACAGATCAAGAGCTGGTCCTCCCTTAATAAATAAGGGAACGGAAGCACACTAAGGGGAAAAGACTTCCCGATTAAAGTATCTCCTAGAGAAATCAGGGCATCTACCAAAGGATCTCCCGGAGCTGTGTGTCCTGCCACAGCCCTGGGGCTTAGCAGTGTGCAGCCTGCATACTGTACACACGACAACCTGCACATCTTTCTCTGACATCACATCTGCCTGTCCGTGGATGTGCTCTGATTCTTCTGCAACCCTTCCCTCTCATCCGCATCTTCCACTCTGCCCCATTTACACTGGATGGTACCAGAAGTATTCATGGAGCTGGGAGGCGTGGCCTGGTTTACTCATGAGCCGGTACTTAGGTCCCTGCCAGGGACATGACCAGAGCAAACCTTCCTCCTCTGAGGGGCAGGGCCGTTGCCCCCGCTGAGCCCTGCTGTAGCTTTAACTCAGTCTCACCTGTTTCCAACACACGGAAGCAGTGTGAACCCCATTCAGTGCTGGGGCAGAGGGGCTGCCCCGGTGTGGCCCCACTAAAGCTCCTTCCACCCTAAGACATACCTGACCCCAGGCTAGCCGCATTGATCCCAAAGGGGTTCGAGACTGTCGGGTGCACCTGGCTGGTCCCCGATCCTCCGGTGCCCTCCCCACCGGACCCGGGGGCCTGGGAGGTGGGGGGCGAGGGACTCCAGGGGTTAGGGAGGGGCTCTCGATTCTCAGTCCGAAGAGGCTGGGAGGATGAGCTGTCGGAGTTCCCGGCCAGGGAAGAGAAGGGATTGTTGCCAAACTAAGAGGAGGGAAAGGTTTCGGGTTAAGGACTGAAACAGATCAGGGACAAGGGAGAGGCTCCCTCTGCTTACACCTAGGAGCCTCCCCTCCCCGGGGGAAGGGGAGACACATCAGACATCCTCACCTACTCTGTTCCCAAAGCACCAGCTCCACCACCCTCACCCGAGCCTGCAGGGGCAACCTGCCGAAGTTGGTGCCTGGCAGCCAAAGCCCTCCGGATGCCACTTCCCTTGCCTGTGCCCAGTGCGGGCCTCTGCTGTGGGCTCTGTGACCCAAGACCTTCGCATCCATCTTTCCTGTGTTGTAAATGACAGAGTTTTGCTCTTGGGGGAGTTAGGGGACAGAGGCCATGTCGGATTCCGCCTTTCACCCCAGCCTCGACACTAGTAGGCGCTCAGTAAGGAATGGCTAGCTTCGTGGTTGCAGGCTGTCAGACCTGGCTAATTTGACCCCCATCTGTCCCCAGCTCCCGCTTCCCCAGCCACCTTGGCCTAATCCTAAACCCCAGAACTCTCTTCCTCGGTCCCCTGAGAGGCATGTGAGCCATCTAGGCAAGTCATGATGGAGCCCAGGGGAGCAGAGATCTGGCTAAGGATTCCCTGGAGGTTTTCTCCTTCCCTGTCCTTTGGGTGGATCCCCAGTCTATCTCCCACGCTCCCTAGAATGCTCGGAACTGTATCTCGTCAGATGGCAGGTTACCCAAAGGTAACACCAAGCCCCCTCCCTCCATCCCTCCAGCAACCAGGACAGCTTGGCCCTTCCCACCTTTCCTGTTATTCAAAGTGGGTCACTGGATCTGGGCTGACCAATCATCCACCCTGAGCTGTGGATCATGGGATCTTGGCTGACCAATCATCTCCACTGAGCTGAGGATCCTCGGCTTCAACAGATGCCTGTTTAGATAACCGGCTGGCCTCATAGTTTCAGTCATTACTGCCATTTCAGATTTCCCATTCCTGTAACCTGCCCGAGTCTCCACCATTTCTAGTCCTTGACTGGTTCTGTTCTTCCTGGTGCACCTACAGACTAAATGTTTCCCAGAACTGCCAGTCACTACCCACTATTTACTGAGCACCTACTATATGCCTTGGCACATTTATATAATATCCATCTATACGCCAGTTCTCAAAAATGTGGCCCTGTGACCCCTGTTAAGATTAGAAAGCTTTCACAACTCTACAAAATGTCAATTTGCTCTTTTTACTTACTCACTTAAGAAAGCTATGTAGCAGGGGACGTTCAATGGAATAAATACAGACCTGAGAAGTTCACTGTCTTACAGGACCAGACATTAAAGTTATCTATGGCAAGGCCACACTTTCTTCTAAGTTTCTCGCCACGCCCAGACTTCAGTTTTGGCAGTGAATATTGATAGGTCCAACTCACAAAAACAAAGTTTTTTAGGGGCCTTCTGTAACTTTTTTATGGTTGTTTTTTTATAGTCTCTTATAGCCCAGGCTAGCCTTGAGCTTTTGATCCTCCTACTTCTAACTCTAGAGTAATGGGATCATAGGGATGAATGCATCTTTTTTGGGGGGGAGGACGGGGGAGGGGACGGACGAACAGGACAGTGTGTCGCCTACAGGCCTAGCTGGCCTGGAACTTGTCTTGTAGACCAGACTAGCCTCAAACCTAGTGATTCTCCTACCTCTGCCTTTTGAAAGCTAGGATTCCAGGTGTATGCTCCATGCTCAGCTTATTCTCTATAATTTTCTATAATATAATTGGGTCCTGAGACCGATTCTACAATAGTAGTGTGAGAGCTACTGCTATAATGGACGACCTCCCTGTGACAATGAGGGAGTAAGGTTCAGGAGAGACCACTTAAAATCACACTGCTGGAAAATGGCGGCGCTGGTATATGAACCCAGGTTTGTGGATGCCAAATGTTTTATTCTTTTAGCAAAACCAGTATTTTTTATGCTTTACTGTGGGTGCTCAGAATTAGCTGGAGTGCTTGTTGTCTTTCTCAACTATTCAATTTAGTTTTGTTTTGGAGACAGGATATCATGTTTCTCAAGTTGGCCTTCAACTTGATATGTAGCTGAGGATGACTATGACCTCTGGATCCTCCTGAGTGCTGGGATTACAGAAGCACACTACTATGCCCAGGTTTTGTATTGCTGGGCTCAAACCCAGGGCCTGTGTGTGTGTGTGTTAGTCAAGTAATCTACCAACTGAGCTTCTTTCTTTCTTTCTTTCTTTCTTTCTTTCTTTCTTTCTTTCTTTCTTTCTTTCTTTCTTTCTTTCTTCCTTTCTTCCTTTCTTCCTTTCTTCCTTTCTTCCTTTCATTTATTCATTTGAGACAGAATTCATGTAGTTAGGCTGGCCTTGAACGCCAGATCTTCCTAAATGCTGGGACTATAGATATGGGACACTGTACCTCATATTCATAAAGCTGGTTTTTTTCTTTTTGGTGGTGCTAGGAATTGACCCTAGGTCTCACACACTCTAGGCAAGTGCTCCACCAGTGAACAATATTCTCCACTCATTAAACATTTTTAAAAGTGCACAATCCTGGGGAATGCCTGGAGTTGGAGCGATGGATCAGCAGTTAAGAGCAATGGCTACTCTGCCAGGGGGTCTGAGTTTGTTTCTGAGCATGGTGGTTCAGAACCATCTCTAACTCTAGCTTCAGAGGATCTGACCCCTTCTTCTGGCCTCCACAGGCACCGCATGCACAAATATATATGTAGGCAAAACATCTATACATATAAAATAAACATACTTTTTTTTTGAAGTGCATAACCCCACTGACCATGATGACGAACCCCAGCACATGGGGGGTGCTGACTTGGGGGGATTTTAAGTTCTGGGATGCCCTGAGCTATATAGTGAGACCTTGTCTGAAAATATAAAAACAGAAACAAAGGTTCAGTGAGCATTTCATCGCCACAGAAGCAGGTGGATCTCTATGAGTCAGAGGCCAACCTGTTTTACATGGAGAGTTCCAGGCCAGCCAGGGCTACACAATGAGATCTGTCTCAAAAACAAAAACAAGCGAGACAAAACAAAAGCCTGGAGAGACTGACCCGGTAAGTAGTCCTAAGTAGGGTCTGGAACTGCATTATTACAGTTTGCCCAAGTGATTCTGATGAAGATGAACCACGGGTTATATCTGAGATACACTGACTAGGGTTGGTTAACTTTGGACCCCAAGTCAGCACCTCCCCTTTTGAGCCCCTGGTGTACGAGTTTATTAAAACAATGTCACGTCCCTTGGATACCATCTTACGGACCTCCCTAGGGACCCCGTTATATTCTGCCCTCATCAAGCTGGCTGTCACTGGATCTGCACTTGAAAGGAAATGCCTTCAAGCAAAGGTCCACCCCACAGACGACTGGGCAGGTGACCCGGAGGGTACTGGGGCATGCTTAGGCTGGAGTAGGGAATCCTGAACCCGGGCAGCCCTCCCGATGCTCGCTTCCTGGTCCCACCTGTTCCCGGGCAGCAGTGAACATGGGCTCCTGGATGTCCGTGTACATGCGGCGGAGAGCATTATACCCTCCAGGGACACTTTCCAAGTTGCTGAGGGCCCGGTCCTGGTTCCGCATCATTTCTTGCATCATGGCTGGGTTCCGAGCAAGCTCCATTGTCTGGTGAAGAGAAAAATATGAGGTGGACCCTGGAACCAGAGGAGCACCAAGCTAGGAAAAGGGACCTGAGGAGGGAGTCTACGTGAGGAATGCGGGACCCACCCAACAGTGGCAGGGAGAACAGCAATCCAGACCTCCTTCCTCCTACAATCTCGGCTTCATCCCTGCCTCTCCGTGGCTGTTTTGGTCGGCTCTTTGGAATGGAGGGATGGTGTTCCCAGATGGGGCTAGGCAGCAGTTTCCTTTTCTCGGGCTCAGAGGATCCACAGAGGTGACAGAGTGTAAGAAAATGGGACCCAGCTTTTTTTCTCCCCTGCCTAGAACTACACCTGCTCCATCATGGTGATGCAATAAATACTTATTGGGTGATAGATTATAGGATGAGAGATCAGAGTCCTGGGTTTATCAGTCCAGGAAGGTGTCTCAGAGGACAGGAACAGATTTGGGGAGAAGGTAACAGTCCAAGGAACAGGAATAAGTAGCTTGCTGGCTTCCTCACGCCATCCCTGAGGCAGAGTGACGCACACAGCAGCTGAATAACCTAGAATGAAGTCACACCATTTCCACAATAACCGGCCCAGGCAAGCATTCCTCTCCGTCTGTTGTAGATATGAAAACGGGGTCAGAGAGGACCACAGACCTGTTGTCCTCTACCATGCAGAAGTTAATCATGCAGGCAGGTTTCTAGGCCAGGTCTCACCAAAACCACACTGTGAGTTCTGGTAAATCAGACCGGGTAGGGAAAGGACTCAGACTGGCCACACTCTGGCCCCACTTCCTGATCTTCAGCCACACTGAACACTCAACACCGAGGATGAGGGAGGGCTCTCTTCATCAGAGCTGCTGACGGCGTCACTGCCTCAGGGATGGCGTGAGGAAGCCAGCTACTTATTCCTGTTCCTTAGACTGCCTTCTTCTCCCCCAAATCTGTTCCTGTCCTCTAAGACACCTTCCTAGACCGACAGGCCTAGTCTCACGGGACTCCGGTCTCTCATCCTATAACCTATCATCCAGTAAGTATTTATTGAGTCACCACTATGGAAGCAGTACATTTCTAGGCAGGAAAAAAAAAAAAATACCCAAACACTCAGAAAGTCCTTATACCATTAAAAAAAAAGCCATGGCCATGTGGTGGGAACACCTTTGATCCTAGCACTCAGGAGGCAAAGGCAGGCAGATCTCCTGTGAGTCTCAGGCTAACCTAGTCTATATAGTGAGAGCCTGTCTCAAAATAACCAACTAATTGAAAAACAATTTCAAAACCTTAATCTTTGGGAGAGTTACCATACAGTGAATCAGACTCTGGTCTCCACATCCCTGATGGCAAGAACATCTACCCTGTCTTCTAGTAAATGGTCTTCAGAAAACAGTCTCCAGCTGGGTTAGTGACATACGCCTTTAATCTCAGCACTCAGGAGGCAGAGGCAGGTGGATCTCTGTCAAGGCCAGCCTGGTCTACAGAGTAAGTTTCAGGACAGCCAGGGCTACACAGAGAAACCCTGTTTTGAAAAACCAAAAGAGAAAAAAAGAAAAGAAAATGATCTCCGTTGGGTGTGTCTAGCCACAGTGTTTCCAAACATAGTTTTGGCCTTTTCTTTGGGGTTCCTTGGTTTTGAACATTATTTTTCTTTCCTTGGTTCATGTACTGTCTTCCTTTGGTTCTTAGCTCAGTGACGCTTCTACTTTTTTTTTTTTTTTCCAGACAGGGTTTCTCTGAGTAGCTTTGCACCTTTTCCTGGATCTCACTCTGTAGCCCAGGCTGGCCTCGAACACACAGAGATCCGCCTGCCTCTGCCTCCCGAATGCTGGAATTAAAGGGGTGCGACACCACTGCCCAGCTCAGTGACACTTCTAGAAGATCTTCCATAAACTCCAGAGTAGGGTCAGAAGCTGAATTCCTTATTAGGTTCCTAGGAGATTCTGGGATTATCCTTAGGCGATCAGTAGTCACACATGTTCGGCTTGACCCATTAAACTCCATTCCTCACTCTCCAAACCCCGTCCACTCAGAGAATCTCCAACAAAGAAAAGGCGCCAAAAAGCCCAGTTCCGCATTCTTGGCGGTTGTGGCAGCTCCTCCCCTGAAGTTGCCAGGAGCCCAAGACCCCATCTAAAGTGGTCAGCATTTGACCACACTTGGACACAAACCCAGCTTGTGGGGACACATTATCACCCCTCACCTCCAGGGTGTATAAGCTCCCTGCTTTAGTTCAGCTGTGTGACTTCTCCAGCCCCAATCTCTGGGGCTGAAGGACTCACTGGGGAGACGCTTTGCTCAAATAAACCTGTTCTTTTGCTTTCTCAATCGGGCTTGATCTGGCTTACTGCATCGGCAGAGAAACCTACTATCACGTTACAGAGAAAACCTATTAATTCGGTGTTGCCTGCATATCTGTCCCACTTCCCTTAGAGACAAGGAGTTCCTGGCCTATGTCCGCTCATCACTATATCAAGTGTTCAAAATATAGCTGTTCAGTTGAATGAACAAATACTAAGCTCGGAATGGCTGACACCAGATTCCTCCCTGCTCCAGCCTCGTCACATACCCACCTGCCTCATGAGCTCCGGGTTGTTGAGCATGTGGCTGATCTCGGGGTTCCTCTCCATCAGCTGTTGCATCTGGGGGTTAGCCATGATCATGTGGCGCATGAGGTCAGGGTTTGACATCATATCCTGGACCAAGGGGTTCTCCATGATCTGTGACAGCATCTCAGGGTTGGACATGAGCTGTCTCTGCATCTGCTGCTGCAGCTCCATGAAGTTGGCAGAGCCCAGGCCCAGGCTGCCGAGGCCAAGGATGCCCCCGAAGCCAGCTGTGGGAAGGAGCAGGGTCAGAGTCTACCTCTCAGGCCCTTCTCAGACCCAGCAGAGCCTGCGAACTTGGCTCTCTAGGATAGCCCCTAATTGCTTCTCACAGGTCCCTCTTGCAATCGCTCCCCCAGCTCCAGCAAAGAGGCCTCTATAAAGGCAGAGGCCAAGATGAGCATATCACTGAACAGAGAGAAATGAATCAGCAGCCACCGGCTTTTCTCTGCTTCTCTCTTCTCCAGGACACTCAACCCCATCTCCCCTTCTGCTCCTGAAATCCTGGAAACCATCATGAACTGCTTTCCTCCTCCTCCTCCTCCTCCTCCTCCTCCTCCTCCTCCTCCTCCTCCACCACCACCACCACCACCACCACCACGGCTTAATCACCAACATCTGGAAGAGTGTCTACCCCAGGAGACTAGGAGCAGGGACCACTGTTCTTCTTTATCTTTGTGCACCCCACTTCCCTGCCCAGTAAATACAAGATTATGCTCTCCTCCCCCAAAGGCTTACAGAGAATTGACGCAGTAGCACTTGGGGGCCCCTCGGCAGCCACTGGAGAGGGTCCCCCTCCACTGCCAGCATCTGAAGTGGCGCTGCCAGAGCCGCAGGGCTGGGCAGGGGCAGCGGGTGAGGCAGGTGTGGTGGAGGGTGCAGAGGCAGAGTCGGGAGTGGATGGGGGAGAAGCAGTGGCGGCCACTGGATCTTGAGCCCTGAGAACAAACAATGGAGACTCCAGGTTGGAGGGAGTACAAGTGGGCGGGTGCTGTGTAGCTGCTGCCAGCTCAAGCCACCCCCTGAGCAGCCTTACCCCACCCTTACCCCAGGCCGGCAAGATGGGGGGGGCGCACGACAGACAGACAGACAGACAGACAGACAGACACACACACACACACACACACACACACAGGAGAGAGGAATGGTGCCAGTATCACTAGTCTTGAAGGCAATCTGGGAGTGGTCAGTCAGGCTGTCCTAGAGGTAAGATCTTATCCACCTGTACCAGGCCTGGCCAACGGCCGTCTACACAGTGGAACAGGTGAGAAAGCATCTGAAGAGAAGTCCCAGTTAGAAGCAAGGTCGGTTCCTTTCCCGAACTTACTTCTGAGGGGTCTTGATGACTAGATGGACCGTGAGCCCATCCTTGATCCCATGCTGGTTCAGCGTGTCTCCATCCTTGAGGATCTTGCCTGCGAAGATCAGGACCAGCTGATCCTGCTGAGCCTTAAACCTCCGGGAGATTTCCTCCTTGAACTGTGGTCAAGAGGCAGAGATCACTGGGGAGCCTGCCTGTACCCCACTGCCAGGACTCTGCTCTCCACTCTGCCCCTCTAGCCGCGATAAGCAACAGTGAGGTCTGCTTTTTCCATTTGTTCCATGATGGTTCTCCTCACCCTAGAAAACCCTGCTGCTATCTACCACGACCACCCAGTTCTCTGTGAGGGTTAGCACCTGGGAAGCCCTCCTCATCCCAACTCCTCCAACCAGCCTTGGCCTCAGGCTTTCTCTCGTCAGCTTCCTCTTGACTCGCAGTTTCTCTCTGCACTTTATTCCCAGCTTTCTCATAACTATAACAAACAGATCCAGCTGTTGAGTGTGTTAGTTACTATCTCCATCTCATTTATTTATTTAGAGGCAAGGTCTCTCTGTGTGTCCCTTACTGTCCTGGAACCCTCTATGTAGACCAGGCTGACCTGGGACTCACAGAGATCCACCCGCCTCTGCTGGGATTTTAAAGATAAGGATCGGAGAGGGGGTAGGAACTCCGGTCTGCACATCAATGTCTCCACCAGTCATACTCTCAATAAGAGCTGTGTTCCAATTCAGCCCTTCCGGGAGAACTGCAAATTCTTGCATGAGAGCAGTAGTGGTACTAAAGGGTACTCTGGGGTGAGTTTGACTCTCTAGAGTCTATCAGCTCCTCCAAAACACAACACAACACATACTCTAATTATAAACAGTGCACTTGCTAAGCAAAAGATCCCTCTCTTCCAACCAGATGGCCTATCCTAAGCCCCGCCCTGTGTGCAGTTCTGGAGCAGCTCCGAGCAGTGGGGAACAGAGTCAATAGTCCCTCACTCATTCAACATTATTTTGTTGAGCACCTACTGCGCTCGATATATCCTATAGAGCAGAAAACTGAACCGTTCCGACTTGCGAGCAGGAAGGACCTGTGCGGGGAGAGAGAGAGAGAGCACCCCCACCACGCGGCTCTCCCGGGGGAGCTTAGCTCACTCGGGCCGCACGGTGCCTCGGTGCCCGGAACCTCCACCAGTAACCGCGGCGCACTCTCCCCTCAAGCCTAGGACCCTCCGGGCACCCGCGTGCCAGGTGTCCCTTTTCCCCAAGCTCCCCCACCACGCCCCCAGCCTCGGCAGCGCTGCCAAACCCGTCCCAACCCGCGCCACGCTCGCCGGACTAGCCCAGGCAGGGCGCCCCCTACCCGCTCCGTCTGCCCTCGCGCGGCCCGGATCCCCGTGGGCTCCGCCCCGGCCGGGGGCCCGTCCCCGCAGCCAGGCCGTCCCCGAGGTCTCCATCTCCGCGCTGACCCCCTCCGCGCACGGCTCCCGCCCTCCTCCTCCCTCCAGCGCCGGCCGTCCTACCTCCTTAACCGAGGCTCGATCGCAGATCACGATCTCCTCCTTGTCCTTGGGGGTCTTGACGGTGACCCGAATCTGGGGCCTCGTCTCGGCCCCGCTCGGCTCCGCC